CCCTTCGTCGGTCTTTACTTCGTGAACTTTTCAAAGAGCTTTGGGTGATTTTTTCGGCGATCGTTTTGAGGATATGCTTGTGGTGAAGTTGCGAACGCGGCAAAACTTTGGTCGCCGCTCGTGATTCAGGAAATTGCGAGGACGTGGCACTGGAACATGCACACCCGTCGCCAATGACAACAATTTTGTGTCTTCAAGATCATCGCCCATTCCACCCGAGGCTGCAGCAGCACTATCAGCAGTAGCAGTGCCTGCAATACCCGAGAGTGATACGTTCTGTGAGTTGGACTTGCTCACCACTTTTGAGCAAACATCAGCTTTTTGGACGAAGCAGGCAGAAGCGATGGGAGCAGTGAAGATGCCGAGCATACCGAACAGCCTTGCAGCGATGGCGCAGGCAGCTACCGTTTGGTAGATCTGGCTTGCCTGCAAAGCTTGGTAAAAGTCCTGCTGTGGCCAACTTGCCAAGGTGACGATTTGGAGCTTTGAGAACGTGGCACTGGAGCTTATCTGACATTCGTCATCGAGTGCCACACTTGTGAAGCCGTCATTTCGGTGCCACTCTCGTCGACCATCGATGGAGCAGTACAGATTGAACTTCCTGCGTGCCTCATAATTGCTGTGCACAAATGCGGCATCGGTTTTACAAAGCTTACATATTTTGTTTACGGAACTAAATGCCCCGCCGCCGATGCACCTCAAATCATACCAGATGATCGCGATGAAAGTGCGTGATGCGGCCACATGAGCGTCAGCGATGGCAGAAACTGCGGAGACGGCGCGGAAGCTGCTAGGAACGTAGGATGACAAGGAGTAGGTGCAGGATGTCTGCATCAGTTATGACGGGACATGACACAAACGAGGCCAACCCGTCTTATTTTGGCATTGGTGCTGTTATTGAACTTGACCTGGGTCTAGTTCTGGACTATGCGGGGGTCAGCAACTACTACCATATGGTTGCAGCCTTGGACTGAAAGAGGGCTCTGAAGGAGAAAAAGAGTGGCTACAAGAACATAAATCCAGATGCCAAAAGAATTTTGATGAATCGGCCAACGCTATGGAGGCGTACGCAGCAGAGTTGATCTTCAGCCGGTCGGCGGAACAACACAAGCTGCAATATGTAACCGTGCTCAGTGACAGTGACTCCAAAGCTTTCAAACGCATTGCTGCACTGCAGCTCTATGACAAGAATATGAGCAAAGAAGATTGCATTAACCACGTTGCAAAGAGTCTCTACGCAGGAATGGAAAAACTGAAGAAAGCAAAGAAAGGACTGGGTGGACGGGGCAAGCTGACGAATGTTATAATGAAAACATAGACAAACCACTAAGCGAGTGCCCTGAAGGAGAATGCCCCAGACGTGACAGCAATGCAGCGGGGGGGGGGGGGGGGTCTTTGCAACCCTGCTGCACATGTATTCAAACGACGAAGAGCTTAGACACATGGCATGCACAAGAGAGAAGAGTCGTGGTGCCACCACAATCACCACCTCGCACTCAAAGCAGCTGGAAAGCTGTCAGCTGCCAAACCTCAACGGCCGACCTTCTCCGAAGAAATGGCCAAGGAGCTTGTGCTGGTGTACAATAGCTTGGCACAGGACTTGTTGCCAAGATGCTCACGCATGAAGACTCAGAATGTCAACAAGTCCTTCAAAGCTCTCATCTGGAACAGGAGTCCGAAGACAGAGTTTGCTTCTCATTGGACAGTCGAGACTGCAGTAGCCCTTGCAGTTCTAGAGTAAAATCTAGGACCAAGGGGCTTTTAAAGGGCCCTCCTCGAAATGAAGATAGAGGCCAGAAGTCACCACAAGTCCCAGACAGAAAAGGCAACTCTGCACCGACTCGCCAGGCCCCGAGCCAGTGCACTGGAGTCATCAAAAGTGTCCCACAAGCGGCACAACAGGACCACGACGTACCACCCCCAACCGAATGTGACCAAACGCCTGAACTGCAATCTCAAACCTATGCTTGCAGCTTATACGGAGCAGCACAAGGATTCGGACACTTAGCTCCCTAAGATTGGGTTTGCCCTCCAACCCACGGTCAACCGATCAACGGGATTCACCCCTGCCCTGCTCACATTTGGGCGAGCTCATTAATGCCATGGACAGAGTTCTGGCAGCAAACGGTGGGGTGAACGACGCGCAGCCAGCCTATGCTGACTACGTCCGGCAGCTGAAGTTTTGGTTGACGAACGTTTTTTCCAAAGCCCGCCAAAATCTGGAAGCGGCGCAGGCTAGCCAAAAGGCCCCATACGACTGCACGCACCGAGATGTCAGTTATCAGGCGGGCGTCCTTGTGCTTAGCCGCACGCACATGCTTAGCGATACAAGCAAGGCCTTCTCAGCTGCGCTGGCGCCAAAGTCGTCAGGCCCATACCGAGTCAAAAAGACATGCTTCCGCTTGTTCTACAAGCTATTGGACCTGCAATGTAGGGACGTAGGTGGACCAGTACATGTACGCAACCTCAATCCTTACACAATGAGGAAGGACGAGCCGACCGAGGACCAGTTTCTCGCGGCAGCAGGTTGCAGTCATAGAAAAGGACAGCTATAAAAATCCTAGCAACCAGGAAACCCTCGCTTGCTTTGGCAGGTTGCCGCATCCTCTGCTGCCGAGTTCAGTTTGTGTACGCAGAGTGACATATCCTGTTAAAGGCACTGCGTGGTCTGCCTTCCAACTGGAACCTCCCGCTCTGCATGGCGCCCTTCTCCTGCTTCCGCCAAAGCGATCCTGAAGAAGGAGCGCCCCCGAGGGATTTTACGACTTTCGGCGAGTGGTTGGCCCATTGACTTTTCCTCAAGCCCCGTTTCGAAGTCATGCTTTCCACCCCATCCCCCACCACGCATATGAAGGGGGACCGAGCAGAATTTCTTTGCAATATGCGAAGAGATGCTCTGAAGATCCACCTCAAAGGGGTCCTTTCCCTCTTCCCTCTCATGTAGAAAAACAAGGCCAAGGGAGGAACGAGAGACATCTTGCCACCCCGACAAGTGTGCAGGCCGGATTTCAGCTTGAGCAGAGTCAAACGGTCGCCACGAGATCCGGAAGCAACCCCGGTCAGCGCCTCCCTCCAGGGCCGCCTTGGTGACACCATCACTGTCTGTGGTGTAGAACGGCGAACGCGGCCGGAAGGCCGCAGAACAAGAACTGACACGAGGCAGGCACTGGACGCTGACTGATCTTTATGCCGATGTTGATGCTCTTATATACAATTGGTAATGCATAAGTTCAGCGCCCTCTATACACAACATATTTCCCCCCTTTAAGGGGGGACGCGGGCTTTGAAAACCGGAAAATCGCGAAAAAGTCGATTTTTAGAAAACCTTATTTTTCGGTTGTATATCTCATAAACTACCTTCTCTGTAATTATCAGCACCAAATACAACGGGGAAATATTTAAAAACAATTATTTACGAGGCCTGAATAGCATCCAAGTGACGGTCAAACGTCAAAATCAACCCCAACTTCGCACGCTCGCCATTTTCGACGCGTTGGGCCGACGGCCGCCATCTTAGTCTTGTTTTGAATGTGAATTCTTTCTCTTTTTTTTGCCAGCTCCCAAAATGGCGTCGGCCGCGTGGTTACGGCGTGGTCGCCGTTCTTCCATGTCGCAATCGCAAGAACGCGATTGGACAGAGCGCGCGCTCGAGGAGCGTGCGACTGCTATTGGCTGGGACGCGATTTCTCCGCGCGCGGAGCGCTCTCCTCCTCCGTTTCTCCTGCTGTTGCCGCTTGCGTCGTCTGCTTTTGGTAGTGGTCTGCTTGCACGCGCTCTTGCTTTGTCAGCTCCACTTCGTTTTTCGCCATCTTTACGATCGTTTTCCGAACTTTCTTTGAGTAGTTTCGTGTAGCGTGCCCGTCTGTTTCGTGGTCGCACACGATGCGGGGTTCGAAGTACAAGACGGTGCACGCGTTTGGCGCGCGGAAGCGGTCCATGAAGTTAGTGCGGATGGTGAAGTTGGAAGTTTCTGCACGGCGTGCCGTCAATGATGATCGCGTCAACACTTCCAGTGATGGATTTTCTGTGCCATCGGCTGTCGTCGAGGAAGAACGCATCGCTCCGCTCACGCCTGGAGTACCGAGCATGCCGACCGTTGTGGTTCCTCCCGAGATCGCGGGTCCCAGCGCCCGTCTTCCGCCTGCCGCGACAAGTAGGAGCGCGTCTTCTAGCACCCATCTGCGGACGCATTTCCTGACACGTGAGGAGATTGAAGCAGAAGCTAGACATTGTGATATTGCTCAAGCCGAACTTGGAGCTATGCCAGCAAACTGCACTGCATGAAGCGGTGTTGAGGTTCAACGCCGGCTGCTACAAGGCAACTGCAGAAATATCGGTTGCAGTGGGACTTCAGCCGACCCATCTGGCCCTCCAACGAGCTGTCGAGAAAGATGCCCTACGTCTGCATAAGGCCAGCAAACGACATCAAGAGAATTTGGAAAGGCGGAACAAGAAGAAAGTGCGCAAGAACACTTCTGACTATTCTGCAGGGTCATTCTAAAGCTGAAAATCTGCGTGCAACTTTCAAGTGCTGTTTTCTCAGAATGGATTTTTTCACTGTCGTGGCTGCTCGTCCCAGCGATATCTCAGGAACTGATGAATGGATTTTTGTGCTGTCTTTTTTATTCTGTTCTCTTATAACTTTGTGAGGGCATAACAGAGCCCTTTTTTTAGAAAACTGTACTAAAAATTTATAATAAAAAAATGAACTTTGGTGAATGTGGGTTTCATTGACTACACAAAATTCAAAGTTGCGTTAAAATTTTTCAACAAAGAAATTTAAAAAAAGGGCTCTGTTATGCCCTGGGGAATGTATCCAGGGGTCATCATAACAAATTTTACGCCGCTACTACCTTTTTCAAATTCTCCAGACCTGGGATAAGGAATGCATATGGACGATTTTGATAAATATTTGTAACTTGAGAAATAATATGCACAGCTCCATGAAACTTTGCAGTTACTCTTATGTCTGTGCTATAAACACATTCGCTAAATTTCGTTCAGATATCTCTAGAAATAAGAAATTTCATATTTATTCCCCACCTCCTCCCTTAAACAAACAAAACCCCAGTAACTAGAACACAACTTTCACCAATAATTACAGTTATTCACATAGCTCTGGAACCACTATAACAGATAATTCTAGTGTAAAACATAATCATTGTATTTTCCGGGCATTCTTCTTTGTCGCTGAGGCCTGCTGTACGACGGTGCCGTGGTCAACAACTCCTGTTGGCCGGAGATGTCCTGCGCTTCGACTTGCTCTGGAGCTGGCGCCGACTCTGCTGGTGTCGACAAGATTTCAGTCTCCTGAAGTGTAGCGTCTGGAAGTGTCTCAGCAGCCCGTGCAGCTTCCGCTCCGTGCGTAGCGACGGTAGCGCTGTCGTCACCTGGCGATAATGTCTCTGGGGTTCTGGCAGTTGCGACGTCCCGTGGTGATGGTAGTTGTGATGCCCCCTCTTCAGTGGGCAAATCCAGGTCGCATAACTGGTCTCTTACCGCTCCACGTCGTTCCATAACTTTTTCTACCAAGTTCCGGGCACCTGGTGCTCCTCCTTTGGCCACTACTGTCAATTTGGCAGCGTTCCATTTCTTCCCATTGTCTAAAAGGAAGGAATTTTTTCCCACGCGTTTTTTTACTTCTATTGGCAAAGAAAACCTCTGCTGTCCCCTTTTGGTCCTCCCCACCTCTTTATTTTCACGAAGTCGCCGGGTTCAATGATGGAGTGCCTGGCACCCCGTCTTTCATCGGTGTATTTCTTTGTCCTCTGCTGTCGCTCTTTGACACGGCGTTGCAGTTCGGCGACGTGAGGCCGCGGTTCATCGAAAAACCCTCTCTCCGGTAGTCCCACGACGTCCAGTCTTGTTCGTGGCCGCCTTCCGTGTAGCAGAAACGCCGGAGACATGCCGGTGGTCGCATGGGGAGTTGCCCTGTAAATACTCAGGTATTCCAGAATCGCCTCCTTAAGTGGTCTCCGCTCCAGTGCCGCCACCTGAATATACTCTTTTAAGATGCGGTTAAATCGTTCTATTTGACCGTTGCACTGCCGGTAGTACAGCGAGGCCACACAGTGTTCAATTCCTCTGTCTTGTAGGAACCCTTCAAACTGTGTCGACATAAATTGTCTGCCATTGTCAGTGACAACACTCTTTGGGTATCCTTCCCTCGCGAATAGCTCCAGTAACACTTTCGTCACCGACTGAGAAGTTATCGACGACACAAAAAAAAAACCTCCGGCCACTTACTGTGATAATCAATCACAGTTACTGCAAATCTGCACTCTGGAGGGGCTCGTTCCATCGGGCCCACAATATCCATGCCCAGCTTTTCCCAGGGCTTTTCGGGCCATTGCACTGGTTGTAGAGGGGCCACCGCGGTCTTTGCAGACTTGTCTGATGCCTTGCACACAGCGCAGCTTCTAATGCAGTTTTCCACGTCTTCGTCCATCCCAGGCCACCAATACTGCTCCCGGAGTCGCTGCTTTGTCCTGACGATGCCCGGATGCGATTCGTGGGCCATCATGATGAATCTGGACACCAGTGTCGATGGAGGCACCACCCGCTCTGCACGAAACAGCACCCCCTCCAGAACAGAAAGCTCTTTGTGGTGTAGACCGGCGAACGCGGCCGGAAGGCCGCAGAACAAGAACTGACACGAGGCAGGCACTGGACGCTGACTGATCTTTATGCCGATGGTGATGCTCTTATATACAATTGGTAATGCATGAGTTCAGCGCCCTCTATACACAACATATTTCCCCCCTTTAAATAAACAAAACCCCAGTAACTAGAACACAATAATTACAGTTATTCACATAGCTCTGGAACCACTATAACAGATCATTCTAGTGTAAAACATAATCGTTGTATTTTCCGGGCATTCTTCTTTGTCGCTGAGGCCTGCTGTACGACGGTGCCGTGGTCAACAACTCCTGTTGGCCGGAGATGTCCTGCGCTTCGACTTGCTCTGGTGCCGGCGCCGACTCTGCTGGTGTCGACAAGATTTCAGTCTCCTGAAGTGTAGAGTCTGGAAGTGTCTCAGCACCCCGTGCAGCTCCCGCTCCGTGCGTAGCGACGGTAGCGCTGTCGTCACCTGGCGATAATGTCTCTGGGGTTCTGGCAGTTGCGACGTCCCGTGGTGATGGTAGTTGTGATGCCCCCTCTTCAGTGGGCAAATCCAGGTCGCCTAACTGGTCTCTTACCGCTCCACGTCGTTCCATAACTTTTTCTACCAAGTTCCGGGCACCTGGTGCTCCTCCTTTGGCCACTACTGTCAATTTGGCAGCGTTCCATTTCTTCCCATTGTCTAAAAGGAAGGAATTTTTTCCCACGCGTTTTTTTACTTCTATTGGCAAAGAAAACCTCTGCTGTCCTTTTGGTCCTCCCCACCTCTTTATTTTTACGAAGTCGCCGGGTTCAATGATGGAGTGCCTGGCACCCCGTCTTTCATCGGTGTATTTCTTTGTCCTCTGCTGTCGCTCTTTGACACGGCGTTGCAGTTCGGCGACGTGAGGCCGCGGTTCATCGAAAAACCCTCTCTCCGGTAGTCCCACGACGTCCAGTCTTGTTCGTGGCCGCCTTCCGTGTAGCAAAAACGCCGGAGACATGCCGGTGGTCGCATGGGGAGTTGCCCTGTAAATACTCAGGTATTCCAGAATTGCCTCCTTAAGTGGTCTGCGCTCCAGTGCCACCACCTGAATATACTCTTTTAAGACGCGGTTAAATCGTTCTATTTGACCGTTGCACTGCGGGTAGTACAGCGAGGCCACACAGTGTTCAATTCCTCTGTCTTGTAGGAACCCTTCAAACTGTGTCGACATAAATTGTCTGCCATTGTCAGTGACAACACTCTTTGGGTATCCTTCCCTCGCGAATAGCTCCAGTAACACTTTCGTCACCGACTGAGAAGTTATCGACGACACAAAAAAAACCTCCGGCCACTTACTGTGATAATCAATCACAGTTACTGCAAATCTGCACTCTGGAGGGGCTCGTTCCATCGGGCCCACAATATCCATGCCCAGCTTTTCCCAGGGCTTTTCGGGCCATTGCACTGGTTGTAGAGGGGCCACCGCGGTCTTTGCAGACTTGTCTGATGCCTTGCACACAGCGCAGCTTCTAATGCAGTTTTCCACGTCTTCGTCCATCCCAGGCCACCAATACTGCTCCCGGAGTCGCTGCTTTGTCCTGACGATGCCCGGATGCGATTCGTGGGCCATCATGATGAATCTGGACACCAATGTCGATGGAGGCACCACCCGCTCTGCACGAAACAGCACCCCCTCCAGAACAGAAAGCTCTTCTTGAATCCGCCAAAATGATAGTAGCTTTCCTGACAGACATTTCTTTTCTGGCCACCTAGATGTGACATACTGCATCACCTCCCGTAACACGCCATCCTTCTCTGTCTCCACTTGCAATTGGTTCTTTGTTACCACGCTTGACACCACAGCAATGACCTCCTCTACTGGGTCGCACTCTGTGGACAGCAAGGGCAACCGGGAGAGTGCGTCAGCGACTACATTATCTTCTCCTTTCGTGTATTGTACAGTAAAATTGTACCTCATCAGCCTTGCACACCACCGCTCTATCCGAAGTGGCCGCCTTCCGGTGCCATTAGTAGAGAGCAATGTTACCAATGCCTGGTGGTCCGTTCGCAGCACAAAATTTCTGCCCCACAAATACACATGCCAGTGCTCGCAAGCCCACAGACATGCCAGGGCTTCTCGTTCTCCCGTAGAGTATTTGCGTTCCTGTGGCGTCAACGTCCTTGATGCAAATGCTATCGTACGCGTCTCACCGTCGATCACCTGTTGCAGTACCGCTCCCAGCCCATATGCCGATGCATCAGTTGTTACCTGTACAGGTAAGGACCGGTCAAACATGGATACTGCGCTGCACGACGCTAGTAGGTTCTTAGCCTTGCCGAAGCTTTCCTCAGCGTTCTGGTCCCAGATGAACTCCTGGCCCTTGCGAAGAAAGCGCCGCAGTGGCTCCACCACTTCTGCATAATGAGGGAGGAAATGAGAGTAGTATCCCATGAGCCCAAGAAAAGAACGCAATCCCACCAAATCCGTTGGCGTCTGTGCATTGATAATCGCGTCCACTTTTGATTTGAGGGGTGCGAGACCCCTTGCGCTCACATGGTGACCCAAGAACGACAATTCCTCTACCCCGAAGACACATTTCGTGTTCAATTGCAGGCCAGCGGCCGCTATTCGCTGCAAGACCTCGCGCAGATGACTGTTGTGTTCTTTCTTATTTTTGCCAAAGACAATAATATCGTCAATATACAATAGGACGCCCTTGCAACCTTTCAATATTTCTTCCATCATCCGCTGAAACGCGGCGGGCGCCGAAGCAAGGCCAAAACAGACTCTACGGAACTGAAACAGTCCCTCATGTGTGGCAAACGTCGTCAGTGCCCGGCTGTCTTCTGACAACTCGACCTGGTGATAGACTGACGCCAGGTCCAGTTTAGAGAACCATGCTGCTCCGTTCAAAGCGTGCAAAAGCTCCTCCGTGTGCGGCAACGGGAAGCCGTCAACGACAATGGCCTTGTTTGGCTCCCGTAAATCTACGCAGAGTCGGATGCTCCCGTCTTTTTTTTTTACCACCACTATTGGAGACACCCACTCAGAAGCGTTTACCCGTTCGATAATGCTTTCACGCTCTAATCTTAACAACTCAGCAGAGACTTGTTCTCGCAACATCAACGGTAATCGCCTAGCTTTTGCTGATACTGGTTTGACGTTGGGGCGCAGTTTAACTTCGTGTACCACGTTTTTAGCAAGTCCCAGTTTCCCCGCAAAGAGGAATGAAAACTCACTAAGTTCAGGAGGCAGAGGTTGTGGCCCCGCCGTTGTCTGTAGGCACGCCAGCGATGCGCCGTCGATATGCAGTCGTAGTTGTTGCACCGCATCCAGTCCCAGCAACGCCATGCCCCTTGACACCACATAGAAGCGAATGTTTGACGACACGCCTCCACGTGCCGCTTGAGCCACAAAACATCCCAAGACTGGAATTCTTTGCTGTGAAAAGTCCCGCAGAATCACCGTTGCTGGAGCCAAGGCGAACCGTCTTGCAAATTTTTCTTGATAGATGTTTGCTGGCAAGATAGACACTGACGAGCCTGTGTCCACGACAAGCTGAATCACTTCGCCCTCGACGCAAACGTCGACTATCAGAGTGGTTCGCTCGTTCCGTGTGACTGTTAGGACACCCAACTCTTCGTTTCCGTCCGTGTCCTGAACCGCTTGCACCCGCGCTTGCCCGGTACTTCTACATACCGCTTGAAAATGTCCCACCTTGTGACACCTCGAACACCGCTTATCTCGCGCTCTGCATTCCCGTGCACTGGCTAGGTGTCCTGAAGCACCGCATCTGTAACACCTGCGGTCCGGAACTGTTGAAGAACCGCTGACTCCTGTTCCTGAACGATTTCTTGCCCTCTCGACTTGCTGAACCATGGCAGCGTCACGCCCCTCCTCGTAGACACGGGCACCTTCCGCTGCCTGCTCGAACGTCTGTAGGATGTCCATGGCCTGGCCCAACGTGAGCTGTGAACCTTTCATGAGCAGCTTCTGTCTTAGCTCCACGCTCCGTACTCCGTCGACGACTTTATCCCGCAGCGCTGCCTCAAGAAAGTCCCCGAAGTCGCAAGTACTCGCGAGCTGTCGCAGGGCACTGACGTACGCGCGTATCGGTTCCTCCTGACGCTGTCGTCGCAACATGAATCGCCGTCGTTCGACAAGCACATTCAGAGTGTTCGTGAAATGTCGTTCCAACAACCGAAGTGCATCGGTGTAGTCGTCCGGCTCACCCCCTTTTGATGTGGTCTTCTCCGGCGCACTTCCGGTTGCAGCAGCAGTTATCGGTGGTGCAGGTGCAGCCGCAGGCTCTGGAACCAACGTGCGAAACACTCTTCGACCTTCCACCCCCAAACACTGTAGAAGTATCGCCTTTCGTTGTGCTGGCGGTTTCGCGTCCATTTCCGTCGCCTGCAGAAAGATCTCGAAGTCCTCTCGCCATTGCCGCCATGGCACTGCCGGGTCTCCCGGCGCCTCCAAAAACGGGGCTAACGATGGCAGCCCGAGCGTATTCATCTTTGCGTTAATGGGTAACGCCCCTCGCGTACTAGTTGCGAAGAACGGCTGTCATCTTGACTGCTGCCGAGGTTGTGCTTTTGTCGACTGCGCCAATGTGGTGTAGACCGGCGAACGCGGCCGGAAGGCCGCAGAACAAGAACTGACACGAGGCAGGCACTGGACGCTGACTGATCTTTATGCCGATGGTGATGCTCTTATATACAATTGGTAATGCATGAGTTCAGCGCCCTCTATACACAACACTCTTCTTGAATCCGCCAAAATGATAGTAGCTTTCCTGACAGACATTTCTTTTCTGGCCACCTAGATGCGACATACTGCATCACCTCTTGTAACACGCCGTCCTTCTCTGTCTCCACTTGCAATTGGTTCTTTGTTACCACGCTTGACACCACAGCAATGACCTCCTCTACTGGGTCGCACTCTGTGGACAGCAAGGGCAACCGGGAGAGTGCGTCAGCGACTACATTATCTTCTCCTTTCGTGTATTGTACAGTAAAATTGTACCTCATCAGCCTTGCACACCACCGCTCTATCCGAAGTGGTCGCCTTCCGGTGCCATTAGTAGAGAGCAATGTTACCAATGCCTGGTGGTCCGTTCGCAGCACAAAAATTCTGCCCCAGAAGTACACATGCCAGTGCTCGCAAGCCCACAGACATGCCAGGGCTTCTCGTTCTCCCGTAGAGTATTTGCGTTCCTGTGGCGTCAATGTCCTTGATGCAAATGCGCATCTCACCGTCGATCACCTGTTGCAGTACCGCTCCCAGCCCATATGCCGATGCATCAGTTGTTACCTGTACAGGTGAGGACCGGTCAAACATGGATACTGCGCTGCACGACGCTAGTAGGTTCTTAGCCTTGCCGAAGCTTTCCTCAGCGTTCTGGTCCCAGATGAACTCCTGGCCCTTGCGAAGAAGGCGCCGCAGTGGCTCCACCACTTCTGAATAATGAGGGAGGAAATGAGAATAGTATCCCATGAGCCCAAGAAAAGAACGCAACCCCACCAAATCCGTTGGCGTCTGTGCATTGATAATCGCGTCCACTTTTGATTTGAGGGGTGCGAGACCCCTTGCGCTCACATGGTGACCCAAGAACGACAATTCCTCTACCCCGAAGACACATTTCGTGTTCAGTTGCAGGCCAGCGGCCGCTATTCGTTGCAAGACCTCGCGCAGATGACTGTTGTGTTCTTTCTTATTTTTGCCAAAGACAATAATATCGTCAATATACAATAGGACGCCCTTGCAACCTTTCAATATTTCTTCCATCATCCGCTGAAACGCGGCGGGCGCCGAAGCAAGGCCAAAACAGACTCTACGGAACTGAAACAGTCCCTCATGTGTGGCAAACGTCGTCAGTGCCCGGCTGTCTTCTGACAACTCGACCTGGTGATAGGCTGACGCCAGGTCCAGTTTAGAGAACCATGCTGCTCCGTTCAAAGCGTGCAAAAGCTCCTCCGTGTGCGGCAACGGGAAGCCGTCAACGACAATGGCCTTGTTTGGCTCCCGTAAATCTACGCAGAGTCGGATGCTCCCGTCTTTTATTTTTTACCACCACTATTGGAGACACCCACTCAGAAGCGTTTACCCGTTCGATAATGCTTTCACGCTCTAATCTTAACAACTCAGCAGAGACTTGTTCTCGCAACATCAACGGTAATCGCCTAGCTTTTGCTGATACTGGTTTGACGTTGGGGCGCAGTTTAACTTCGAGTACCACGTTTTTAGCAAGTCCCAGTTTCCCCGCAAAGAGGAATGAAAACTCACTAAGTTCAGGAGGCAGAGGTTGTGGCCCCGCCGTTGTCTGTAGGCACGCCAGCGATGCGCCGTCGATATGCAGTCGTAGTTGTTGCACCGCATCCAGTCCCAGCAACGCCATGCCCCTTGACACCACATAGAAGCGAATGTTTGACGACACGCCTCCACGTGCCGCTTGAGCCACAAAACATCCCAAGACTGGAATTCTTTGCTGTGAAAAGTCCCGCAGAGTCACCGTTGCTGGAGCCAAGGCGAACCGTCTTGCAAATTTTTCTTGATAGATGTTTGCTGGCAAGATAGACACTGACGAGCCTGTGTCCACGACAAGCTGAATCACTTCGCCCTCGACGCAAACGTCGACTGTCAGAGTGGTTCGCTCGTTCTGTGTGACTGTTAGGACACCCAACTCTTCGTTTCCGTCCGTGTCCTGAACCGCTTGCACCCGCGCTTGCCCGGTACTTCTACATACCGCTTGAAAATGTCCCACCTTGTGACACCTCGAACACTGTCTATCTCGCGCTCTGCATTCCCGTGCACTGGCTAGGTGTCCTGAAGCACCGCATCTGTAACACCTGCGGTCCGGAACTGTTGAAGAACCGCTGACTCCTGTTCCTGAACGATTTCTTGCCCTCTCGACTTGCTGAGCCATGGCAGAGTCACGCCCCTCCTCGTAGACACGGGCACCTTCCGCTGCCTGCTCGAACGTCTGTAGGATGTCCATGGCCTGGCCCAACGTAAGCTGTGAACCTTTCATGAGCAGCTTCTTTCTTAGCTCCACGCTCCGTACTCCGTCGACAACTTTATCCCGCAGCGCTGCCTCAAGATAGTCACCGAAGTCGCAAGTACTCGCGAGCTGTCGCAGGGCACTGACGTACGCGCGTATCGGTTCTTCCTGAAGCTGTCGCCGCAACATGAATCGCCGTCGTTCGACAAGCACATTCAGAGTGTTCGTGAAATGTCGTTCCAACAACCGAAGTGCATCGGTGTAGTCGTCCGGCTCACCCCCTTTTGATGTGGTCTTCTCCGGCGTACTTCCAGTTGCAGCAGCAGTTATCGGTGGTGCAGCCGCAGGCTCTGGAACCAACGTGCGAAACACTCTTCGACCTTCCACCCCCAAACACTGTAGAAGTATCGCCTTTCGTTGTGCTGGCGGTTTCGCGTCCATTTCCGTCGCCTGTAGAAAGATCTCAAAGTCCTCTCGCCATTGCCGCCATGGCACTGCCGGGTCTCCCGGCGCCTCTAAAAACGGGGCTAACGATGGCAGCCCGAACGTATTCATCCTTGCGTTAATGGGCAACGCCCCTCGTGTACTAGTTGCGAAGAACGGCTGTCATCTTGACTGCTGCCGAGGTTGTGCTTTTGTCGACTGCGCCAATGTGGTGTAGACCGGCGAACGCGGCCGGAAGGCCGCAGAACAAGAACTGACACGAGGCAGGCACTGGACGCTGACTGATCTTTATGCCGATGGTGATGCTCTTATATACAATTGGTAATGCATGAGTTCAGCGCCCTCTATACACAACACTGTCATTGTTGGATGCCCCGTCTCTTGGGGCTGAGACGGCCTCGTTCCTTGCCACAAAATCGACCCGCCACATCACAACGTGGACGTGGCAGCAAGGGACCGGGCTGCAGCAAGGCTTCGTCTCATGGCGAAGACGGTCGGACCAGCGGCGGCCCAGACCGGGGGTCCCGAGTGACAAGCTGTCCTTGTTCTTTCGGGGCTGCACGCTCCAGGACGCAGATCAAAGAGGCCCGGGGCGCCTCCATGACTCCGGACCTCGCGGCAGTGTACTGCGAGGGCTGAAGGGTTCTTCATATACACAAGGTCCACGACTACTGGAGCAAGGTGCACCTGAGCCATTTCTGGGTGCCCAACGTGGTTGACCTGACCTGCACGCTGCCCTCGACCGGCCTGGCGCTGTGGACGCCGTGCTGTCACACTTGGCGCGACAGCTGGAGTTTGTGGCTGTCGCGAACTCCAGTCGTTCTGTTCTGTCTGTTCTGCTGCAAACCGCTCTGCCGGCCGCGCTGTGCCAGCTACCCATGCCGTCATTTCGCGACGGCGTCAAGAGAGGGCACTGCACATTCTACAAGCGCCTACAATTGTGCTTGTGTTGCTTCTCGTTAGATGGCGAAAGAGTGCCGGGCACGCAGAGCGTGCTGAAAGGACACATGCAGATTGGCAGGACGCAACGGGGCGCACCTCGCACCAGCATTGCCAGTCTGGAAAAAAATATCTGGAGAATTTTCGTTAAAAAACCTAGATATTTTTGTAAATTTCTGTAGAGAGAAATAATTACCCTCTTCCTCAAAAGTTTACGTCAATTCGCTGCTTACTTTGTGTCGGCTTACCACTTGTTATTTTCGCTAGGTTTGCACAAGCTACCGCTCAATCTTTCAATCTCAGAGTTTGTCGTAGTTCTTTCTCCGACTTTGCGCTTTGTTTGTGGTCACGTTTGTGGTGCACTGCGCTCCTTCGCAGGCTTAGCTGTTCCTCGCCTAGTTGGGATTCCTACATCTTACTTTTTTATGTAGCAACGCCGAATTAGACAAAACCGGGTTGCAGCTCTAAAATGCCACCAAAGAAGAAATGTTATGAGCAAAAATACAACGTCAAGTGGACCAAAGAAAAAAAGGACAAGGCAATGGCTCTCTTCCAGCTAGACGGGCCCCACCTTTGCCTATTGCAAAGTGAGCATCAATGCACCTGTCGGTGAGTGCAGGAAAGTTAAACCTCGACCACCACATGACCACGGTGAAACACAAAGCAAATTGCAAGAAGTTGGTACAACAGCCTACGATTCTTCAGGCAACATCAACGCAGGAGTCACCGTCAGACAGGCCGGCGAAAGAAGGTGAAGTCCGGATGGCCATCTTTATTGCAGAACACAATCTACCCATTGCTGTCGCTGACCACTTGCTGAAATTCATTCAACAAGTCTGCAAAGACTTTGAAATCGCGAAAAAGGTTGCATGTGCTAGAATGAAGACGATTGGAATGATCAAAAACGTCACCGGCGAATGCAGCCGCCTCAAACTCTGCGGTTCACTCCAAAACTCGAAGTTTTCTCTTATCATTGATGAATCCACCGACGTTATTGCGTGCAAGCATCTGTGCATAGTAACCGTTTCTTCAAGGGTGGTGATGTCCAGGACGCCTTTTCAGGCTTCTTCCTCTTGACGCACTGCAAGTGGGCTCTTCGGGACTCGGGTGAGTGCAGTCGAAGCAGCAAATATTCCCTACAAAGAAAACATACTCGGCTTTGCAGCTGACGGAGCGAGCGTTATGATGAGCAAGAACAACTCAGTCATGACTCTCCTCAAGAAGGAGATTCCTGACATCTTTGTTCTGACACGTGTGTGCCACTCCTTCCACCTATGCACGTCGTATGCCTGCGCGAAATTTACATGCATGATTGAAGACATTGTGAGGGACGTATATAACTACATCTCCTTCAGCCCCAAATGGGTGGATGTTTTCCAGAAGTTCCAGCGCCTCCTCGAGCTCAAACCCCACAAACCGTTGCACCCCACCCAGACAAGGTGGCTCTCAGTGCACGCAGCAGTCGCTCGTGTTCTTGAGCAGTACGACGCGTTGACAGCATATTTCGCAGCAGCGGCTTCAACCGAGCGACTCCTAGTGCCTGCTACGGTTCACGAAAGACTTGTGGACCCCGTCAACAAGCTCATCTTGGAATTTGTGGATTTCATCCTCCCGAGCTTTACTAACTTAAACTGACTGATGCAGACAGAGCAGCTGCAGCTCCACACTTTTCGGGAAGCTGCATCCACAAGCATGCGCACCATCACGGATTGCTACCTTTAAGGCCCGTACGTCCGAAGCACGCCAGTTGAAGATATGCAGTACAGGAACCTTATGTATTTTGTACCCCTGGAACAGATGTACCTGGGAGCGAATGTGGATATGAGCCTCTCCAGTCCCAGTCTAAAGGTGTCTCAGGAGCAGGTTCGTTTCTTTAAGCTCCGCTGCCTCGTATGTCTGATTGAGGAAGTGGGACAAGTCATGCAGCGGATGCCCTTCAAGAGTCCTGTACTTGTACACATGAATATCCTAACCCCAAAGAAAGTCCATGAAGGAAAGAATGCGTCCATCATTCCCCTGGCAGCGTCATTTCCTCGGCTCCTTCAAAAGATTGGCGCGCAGTCTCTGGACAACGAATGGCTTCACCTGCAAAATACCCCCTCGGAGGAGCTGCCACAGGAAGAGTTATTTGAAGAGTTTTGGACGAAGATGTTTTGAACAAGTCAAGTTGACGGCACGCAAGCCTTTCCCTCACTGGAAAGATTTGTGCCTGCGGTTCTGTGCCTACCACATTCAAGTGCGGCGGCGGAAAGGATCTTATCTGCTGCGAACAACATGAAAACGAAGCAAAGAAACTGGCTCGCAACAAGCACCGTCAGCGGCCTTTTGTACACGAAGCAGATGTTGGGCAGTTCAAGCTGCTTTGATTTCCCGATTGAAAAGAAGTTGCTTGAAATTGCGACGGACTGGCGACAGAGGTCCGAGAGCAACGGTGATGACGACGACTGACTGATTGCGCAAGAACCTCCGTACTTCATTTGCAAATTTTGTTCATTAATAATTTCAAGCACAGTTCATTCTCCATTAAATGTAAGTGTTTATAAGAAAAAAGATGTCTGTTTCTAATTTTCCTTCCCTGTTCAACAGCATACAAGCTTTTAATTCACATACTATGAACAGCCCCGAATATTTGCAGTTTCGAAAAAGGACCACCTTTTGTCCTTCACTCATGAGCTGGCACCCATTTTTTAACTTACAAAGCAGCGAATGTCCGTGACAATTTTTTTTCGTTGGTCACCTCGCACGGAGATAGGCAAAACCAATGCATTTTGGACAATTTGTCTGCTAGCGAAGACTCCGAGCTCGCCAGGGGCGTTGCAATCACTTTTCGCCCGTTTTCCGCGGGAGTTGCCAGTATTGGCTTCCACGGTATTTGGCTAAATGATGAAACATTGCCGATTTTTGATGTCGTTAGAATACCATTTGCGACGAATGAGTAACTCGGCACACCTCACGTGCAGTTCTGCAACCGGCGCCGCTTTGGTGCAGTTCCGCCATTTGTTTCGATGTCCATAGCCTCGTTGACCATAGAGATTTGACCAAATTAGCCACAGCGAAATAACCATCAGCGCTGTTAAAGCCTCAGCGTTGCAAACATTGTATGGGTTGGCTGTACAGTCGAGCCCACTTATAACGGCCCCACTTAAAACGAACGTTCGGTTAATACGAACAATTTCTCATCCCCAAACATATTTCGCAAGAATCCTGCACAAAACGGCCCACTTTTAACGGCCATTTCTGAGCGCAATTCTCGGATAGAACGAACGAAACGGCGCTGACGGCGCCGCGACCTTGGCTGCCGGCGGAGATAAGGCAGGGGAGAGGAGGCGCAGAACGCGGAGGAGCACCGGCAGCGCAACACCCCGACAGCGTCGGGTTCTTGGGGAGGGGGATGGGGAGGGAAGAGGGAACGAAAGGGGAAAGCAAGACAATCAAGCCTCCCAGCCCAACGCTTTGCACGCGTTCTGCTCGAAGCGTTGGGGCCGTGTGCAAAGCCCCCTCTTTTTTTTTTGCTTTTTTTTTTTTTTTTTTATTTTGAGTGTTGGGGTTTTGCGGTCTTTTGGTCTTTTGTCTTTCGTTCCGTCTGAAGCGTGTTGCCTCTCGTCGTTTGGTTTCGGCATTTCGGCTCGACCTCCGCGCAATCGTTCAGTCTACGGTCACTCGCCGAGTCATCGATCGTTATGTCGGACATTGCTTCAACTGCGAAGAAACGCAAGGCGATCGACATGGGCACGAAATCTGCAATCCTTCAGGAGCTGAGCGCAGGGGCGAAAAACGGCGAACTGTGCAAGAAATATGGCTTATCGAAGTCCACCATTTCGACGATCGCCAAGGAAAAGGAGAAGATCATGGCAGCAATGAGCATGAATGGTGACTGCAGTGCTCGAAAACGGCTGCGGCACGCCGCGTACAAAGACGTCGAAGACGCTCTCTTCAAGTGGTTTCTCGACGCAAGAACTATGAACGTCCCCATCAGCGGACCCCTGCTGCTTGGGAAAGCCAGGGACTTCGCGTTTCTCCTGAATTTCACAGAGTTCAGCCCTGGAAACGGATGGCTCCATCGCTTCAAGGAGCGCCACGGGATTGTTTACAAGTCCATCGTCGGGGAAGGGGCATCCGTGGACATAGAGAGAGCGGAGCAGTGGCTTGCTGACAACCTGGACGAGATCTACAGCTACAGTGAGCGAGATGTCTACAACGCGGATGAAACTGCGTTGTTTTACCAGATGAGGCCTGTGCGTACGCACGCGTTAAAGGGCGACAAATGCGTCGGTGGGAAGCACAGCAAGGTGCGGATAACTGTGCTCCTGTGCTGTAATGTAGACGGCAGCGACAGGCGCTTGCCGTTTGTGATTGGAACGGCGAAGAAACCGCGCTGTTTCACCAACCCCCTGCCCGTACGGTACCGAGACAGTGCCAAGGCTTGGATGACTCGGCAACTCTTTGCCGAATGGCTCACGGAGCTTGACAATGCCATGGTCAAGCAAAAACGAAAGATCCTGTTGATCCTGGATAATTGCTCAGCTCATCATGTGAACCCACAGCTGAATGCTGTGACTTTGATGTTCCTCCCTCCGAACGCCACTGCCAAGCTCCAACCCCTCGACATGGGGATCATCAGAAATTTCAAAGTGTGCTACCGCCGCCGCGTCATCGAAAGGCTGCTCATCGCAATCGGCCGACCAAGTGCGCGAGGGCCTCAGCTGACAATTTCTCTCATGAACGCAGTGGAAATGCTGAAAGCCTCCTGGATGGAAGTCAGGTCTGGCAGCATCAAGAACTGCTTTCGAAAAGCTGGGATTTCGTTTTCTCCTGCGAAGCAATCTCCTGCGGAAGCAAGCCAAGACGATGCGCAAAGCATCGACTCGACCCTGTGGACCCAAGCCGTTGCTGCTAGTCTGACAGAGGAAGGGCAGACGTGGGACGACTTCGTTGACGCCGACGAAGATGTCATCGTCTCGGAGAGCGCCTCCGATGAAGCTATCGTGCGGGAGGTGCGGCAGGACATCGCGGCGTCCGACGACGAAGAGGACGACGAGGACGACGTCGGCGATGGGGTTGCTCCCTCACCTCCGGTTTCGACAGCGACGGCTTTGGGGCACATAGCTTCGTTGAAGCAGCTGGTGTACGCACGGGGACTGAGCGATGTTCACATCGATCAGCTGAGCAACCTGGAGAGCGCTATAATTGGATCTGCACTGCGGAAGCAAACAGCGATTACGGACTTCCTTGAATAAACGCCATGCACATCGATCGCAGGTGTTGCGCTTTCCAATCCGTGCCGTGCTTACTTATTTATCTTGAATTTTAAGGGGGGACGCGGGTCTTGGAAACCAAAAAATTGCGAAAATGGCGTTTTTTGGAAAATAACATTTTCGGGTTCTTTATTCCATAAACTATCTTCTCTGTAAGTTTCAGCACCTAATTCGCGCTAGAAATGTGTTAAAAAAATTACTAACGAGGCCGCGGGAGCTCAAAATCGACAATCAAACACACCAAACAAGCCCAACTTTGCGCGGTCGCCGCTCCCGCCTCGTTCGGCTGGCGGCCGCCATCTTGGTCCCGTTTTGAAGCTGATTTCTTTCTCTTTCTTTTGCCTTCTTTCAAAATGGCGTCAGCCTCGTGGTTCCCGCGTCGCTGGTGTTTTTCCTTCTCGCGATCGGAGAGCCGTGATTGGCTAAAGCGGGCGCTCAACAGAATACGAGGTCGTCATTGGCCAACGCGGCCTTCCTCCTCTCCCGGAGCGCCGTTCTACCGACCGGTTTCTCCCGCGTCGCCTGTTCGCATCGTCTGCTAACTCAGTGGTCTGCTTGCTTTCTCCAGCTCCGCTTCGCTCTTTCGCCACCTTTACGATCGTTTATCGCCCCTTTACTAGTTTCGATTTGTCTTTCCTGCGTATTTTGTGATCGCGCACGATGCGGAGGAAGATGAAATTCAAGACTATGCACGCCTTTGGCAGCCGGAAGCGATCTATGAAGTTTGTCCGCATGGCGAAGTCGGACTCAGCTCGGCCGACCGGCGACGACGATCGGGTTGATATGTCCCACAACGAGTTTACCGCGGCGCCAGCCGTCGCCGAGGAAGCATTTGTCGCTGCGAGTACGCAAGGGCCCGCGAGCTCGCTCTGCGCCGCGGGGTCTTCCGAGATCGCCAGCACCAGTTTTGCGTCCGCGACAATGAAAGAGAAACCATCGTCCCGTGTTCATCTGCGGACGCATTTCTTGACCCAAGAAGAGATCGAAGCGGCAGCTGTGCGTCGTGATGCCGTCCAAACCGAACTTTCTTCTACGTCGGCGACCGAGAGGAAGCTCCAGGCCATGCAGCGTGGTCCCACACCCGGAACGGTGTCGTCTGCCACAAGCACAGGTGCAAAGTTTTTACTTATCCAGACTGATGTTCTGAATGAACTGCTGTGTTGTACAGTTTGCAAGAACTGTTTGGAGAGTGGATTGGCCATTCGAGAAGGCACCCAGCTTGGGCTGGCACTGAAGTTGGAGGTCGTGTGTCCCCGTTGCGGCATCATAGCAGACTCATGGAGTTCACCACGCCAGCAAGATTCCAGGGCCTTTGAGGTCAACATTCGAGCCATGATGGCAGTGAAGCAAATTGGAAAGGGGCAGACTGCTCTGAACGATTTATGGGCGGCAATGAATGTGTCTCACAGGGGTCTCCACCATAAGACCTTCCAAGAGCACCTCAAGAATACTTTCAAGGAGCCAGAGGCACAATGCTTGGAAGAATTTTATTCTGAATCGGCCTCAGCAGTAAAAACCATCTACAAGGAGATGGATTCAGGTTTCCACAGAGACGTCACCATAATGTATGATGGGACATGGCACAAGCGTGGTTACACGTCCCACATTGGTGTTGGTGCAGTTATCGAGTACCACACTGGCCTCATCTTGGATGCTGTGGTTCTGTCGAACTTGTGCCTTGGATGCCAGATAGGACCCAAGCCTGGAGACCAGAACTACCACACCTGGCACCAACACCACATTTGCCAGAAAAACACTGACGCCAAATCGGGAGAGATGGAGGTAGAAGCCGCTCTGATTCTTTTCAAGCGGTCAATCTCGAAGCACGACCTGCGCTACACAACGCTTGTTTCGGATGGGGACAGCAGGACCTTCTCAGCCCTCTCGCAAGAGAATGTATACGGAATTGTCCCTATCATAAAGGAGGAATGCCTGAACCATGTTCAGAAGAGGATGGGAACCGCACTCCGAAATATCGTCCAAAAGAGTGACAAGCCTCTGGGTGGAAAGGGCAAGTTGACTAAGGTGCTCATCGACAAACTGACAGGCTACTATGGTTGGGCCCTAAGGAACAACTGCAATGACTTAACAAAAATGCAGCGAGCAGTGATGGCGACATACTACCATGTCACATCAACAGACAAGAATCCCCACCATGAACTTTGCCCGGACGGAAGCGAGTCGTGGTGCCAG